ACACACACACACACACACACACACACACACACACACCCCTGGGAGCTTACAATATCATGGTGTCTGTATCTTTTCTTTGCAATTATGTGGCTCAGTTTTTTGTTATGTACTAGAGCAAAAAGAGGATTAGGAAGGATTTTTAGAGTTGCATTCAAGGTCTCCAAAGACTTCACACCTTCTTTAATGTTTTCCTCAAATGAGTTGGTTTTTTTTTTTGTTTTATCCTCAAGCTCAGAATTAATCAACAAGAATTTATTAGGTGCCTTCTTTGAGCCAGGCACTGCAGATACAAAGATAGAAATAAAACAGTGCCTGACCTCAAAGAACTTACATTCTATCAGGGAAGACAACACAAACACATGTAAGGTGACTTTGGAGGGAGGCACCAATTGCTTGGATGACCAGGAAAAGCCTTTCATAAGAAACGGCCCTTAAACTGAACTTTGAAGGAAACTCAGGATTCTAGGAGGGCGGAGTAAGGAAGGAGAGCCTTCCAGGTCTGGAGGACCATGTGTGCAAAGCAGTAGAGACAGGAGCTGGAATGTTGTGTATAAAATAGTAACGGGGCCACTTTGGCCAGACTGTAAAGTGCATGAAGAGAGGGCCTTAATGGAATAAGCCTGGAAGATAGGAGCTAGATTGTAAAAAGCTTTAAACACGTAACAGAGGGGTTTTGTATGTGATCCTTCAGGGAATAGAGGGCCCATTGAAGTTTGTTGGGCAGAAGATCGATTTGGTCAGATCTGTGCCTTAGGAATATCGATCACTTTGCAGCTTTGTTTTCTTTTTCCTTGTAGGCAAAGATACTAAATTGTTTCCTTGATTAGAAGTCTGAAGCTCATAGGCAAAGTCCCAATAATAAGGTCTGATGTCTACTAATGACATTGAGAAATGCCTTGGGCAAGTCCCAGGACTCTGTGTCTCTCTCTTCCTACCACCTATCCATACACCTGATAATGCCCTGTTTAATTAAAGAATCTCAGAATTGGAAGGCACCTCAAGAGAGTTATCCAGACCAACCAATAACTGACAAATGGTCATTTAGCTTTTTCTTTTAGGCCTCCAATAATGGAACTCTCTATATACCCCAAGGCACCTCAGAAATAGAGGACTAAGAGATAAATTACACCCAAGGCAACACCATTGTGTGTCCTTAAAAAGGGGTTCATTTAATTTCTTAAAATCTTACCTTTCAGGCCGGTATCAGTATATATCTTATCTCACTCACTGGATGGTCAGTTTTTTGTTGACAGGTACTATGTCTTGGACATTTTTGTATCCTCCCACCTCAGGTGCTTTGCACCTACCTGTAAAGCCCTTATTAAATATTAAATATTAAATTGACTGAATTTCTGGGATGCTAAGAAATTGCTGTCTGTGGTACCTTTTAGCAAGTTGTAGTTTCCTCACTTATCTCTTTTCATTATATCTATTTTTGCTTTTACTTTGTCTGAGATCGTGATTGCTACCACTGCTTTTTTTTTTTCATTTCAGCTGAAGTATAATAGATTCTGCTCTAGCCCATTACCTTTATTTTGTGTGTATCTCTCTGCTTCAGGTGTGCTTCTTGTAAAGAACATATTGTAGGATTCTGTTTTTTAATATACTCTGCTATCCATTTCCATTTTATGCGTGAATTCATCCCATTCACATCTATAGTTATGATTACTGTGTATTTCCCTCCATCCTATTTTCCCCATTTCTCTCTCTCTCTCCTTTCATCCTGTCCCTCCTCAAATGTGTTTTGATTCTGACCACCACCTCCCCCAATCTGTTCTTCCTTCTATCACCCTCTCCCCTTTTTGTCTTAGCTCCCTTCCTTCCTACTTCTCTGTAGGGTAAGATAGATTTCTATACCCAACTGAGGGTGTATATTATTCCCTCTTTCAGAAAATTCCAATAAGAATATTGTGAAGCCACAGTCAGGATCACACAAGATTTAGCAGTTTCTATGTTAAAAAAGTGAATATCCTATTCACACTTGGATCCTGACTGTGGCTTCACAATGTTTAAATTGTTTCTTTCTGGCACTTGCAGTATTTTCTTCTTGACCTGGGAGCTCTGGAATTTAGCTATAATATTCCTGGGAGTTTTCATTTTGGGATCTTTTTCAGGAGGTGATTGGTAAATTCTTTCAATTTCTATTATATTCACTGGATCT